GATGATGGTGAAATGGAACCAGGTATAGATATTAAAGTAGGCAGGAGAAAGACCAAGATTTGAAGCCAGTAATTGATTTTCTACAAGCAAGTGTTTTGCATGCTGCTTGGGAGAAGGTGTCCAGCTTAAGCCCTGTGACAAAGAACTATTGGGCACAATGGGAACAGTTGAAGCTTGAAGATGATAGTCTTGTCTGGAGATGGAAAACTGCAGATGGGAAAGTTACAACCTGGTAAACGGTTATACCGAGAAAGTTACGGGAAGTTGTACTGCGTCAGTCCCATGATAGTTTAACAGGAGGACATTTTGGAGTTAAGAAGACATTGAGCCATCTACAGCAAAGATTTTGACTGGATAGGTATGAGGCAAGATGTGGAAGAATGGTGCAGGACCTGCAGTACATGTTGTGCTAAAAGGGGACCCAAGCATTAAGGGACGTGCTCCAATGAAGTTATATGAAGTTGGTGTACCAATGGAAAGTGTAGCCATTGACATTGTTGGTCCATTGCCCCAAACTCGTGCTGGAAACAAGTACATTTGTGTGGTGATGGATCATTACACCAAGTGGCCTGAGGCATATGCAATACCAAATTAGGAAGCTACAATTGTAGCTTCGGCTATTAGTGATTTCTTCTTCAGGTTTGGTATGCCATACGAACTGCATTCAGATCAAGGCCGTAACTTTGAATCAGGTGTGTTCCATGAATGCTGCAAGTTGTTTGGCATCCGAAAGACCAGGACAACGCCACTTCACCCACAGTCTGATGGGATGGTAGAAAAGTACAATTGGACATTGAGACAGAAATTGGCAAAGTTTTGCAAAGCTGCCAAGATGACTGGGATGTCTTACTCTCTCCTCTGTTGATGGAATATAGAACAGCAGATCATGAAGCCACTGGATACACTCCAGCAAAGCTGATATTTGGTCGGGAACTTCAATTGCCAGTGGACCTGATAACAGGATGTCCACCTTATGAAAATGTTCCAGAGTTCGTGAAAGTGTTATCGGAAAGGATGGGCGATATTCACCATCAAGTGTGGTCGAACTTAAAAACGTCTGCTGATTCCATGAAGCTATGTTATGATAAGAAATCTACTGAAGTCAGCTTTGTACCAGGAGACAAGGTGTGGTTGTATAATCCAAGGAAGACAAAAGGGAAGTCTCTTAAGTTGTCTTCTCCATGGGAAGGCCCATATGACATAGTGGATCATCTCTCAGATGTGACTTTTCGAATAAAATGTGGTCGGCGAGGTAAGCCAAAGGTGGTGCATGCCAACAGGCTTTGGCATTATAACGGCCTAGGACATTTCAATTGGAATGAAATGAACAACAGAACAAATGACGCTGCCGAAGACGTGTCACCTGAAAAAGCCACTGTTGAAGAAGAAACTCTACCCGGTTTTAAGAAGGAAAACAGTGAAGCCGTTAATGAAGCTACTACCACTAATGTGACTGTTACTGATTATGGGACATTTTCTGATGGAGCAGATGAATCCCACGTGAAGCATAAGCCAATGAGACGGAGACCGGTACGAAAGAAGAAACGTCCTGTAAAATTAAGAGACTGTTGAATTTTAATTTTGT